AGCTTTGGCGGGGAAAATTATTATCTCGGGAACCACGGAAGCTGAAAATTCTTTAATAGAATTTTCCGCGGCAGGGTACGACCTCCGGTTTGAATTCAGCTCTCATTTATTCTGGGTATCAAGTGCGGCCTTCATTTACTCGCGAGTACCACGTATGACTCCGCCAATGCTTTGGTTGAGAAAATTATTGCCCTGAGAACCGCGAAAGCTGCGCAGCTGAAATTTTAGGGTAACGTCTGCTACGCACCTTCGACCCAGGAAATTTTTATTCAGCCCCCTTTCTTTCGTACACTTAGGTTTCATTTACGGCCCCAGGAAAAGTTTTGGCGGGGAAAATTGTTATCTGGGGAACCACAAAATCTACGAAACTGAAATTTTAGGGTAATGACCCCTTGTCCATATACGACCTTGAAAATTCAAATTCAATGTTCTCGCGCTCTTGGGTATCGCTTACGGCTCCATGAAGATTTTGGCGGCTAAATTATTACATGGGGGACCACGGGATCTAAGAGGATGAAATTTTAGGACAATGACTCCCAGCTCGCGTACGACCTTGCAGATTCAGATGCAGCGTTCTCGCGCTGTCGGGTATCAGTTACGAATCCGTGAAAATTTTGGCGGGGAAATTATTGTCGCAGGAGCTGGCTTTTATAAGCCAAGAAGGTGCAGTTTTGCGGCTTTGCCGCTGCGTGAGATTTCATGTGCCGGTGCGTAAAATTTTTGACTATTTTTTTAACGTTTCAACTATTTTTGCACAGACTAAAGTACAAAGCAGTGAAAATTATTAAGAGGCAATCGTTCGGTGAACGAAGTGCACAAAACGCATGATCGCACAGGCTAGTCTGGCGCGCGTTGCTGTTTTTTTAAAAAGATATCGCCTTTGAACAGTAGCTTAAAAAATTAAGAAAATGCTTTGAAAATTTTAGCTTTTTTACTCGGGCTGCTGATAGGCCTTTATTCTGCGTTTTTTATTTTTATAATACGTCACATACTAACTTGGATGTTTGCCTCTGTATTAGAATAGTTTCGAGAGCTCAGGTTCTTGGATCCCAGTTCGTTTCCTTGTTTGAAGCCGTTGACTCAAGACCAAAGTCGTCTTTTTATGCTGTGGTTTGTAGACAAGATCCAAATTTGGTCTAATTTTTACGGCGAAATTCTGAAATCAGAATTATGTGAATACATGTGGCTGGAGATAGAGCACTGAAATCGACGTCTTTTGAGTTACGACCTCAGGTTCAGTTCCAGGCTAATTTTTTGTGGTGCGAAGGGATCTTTACCTACACATTGCGCATTATGCTTGTCGGGGGGAGGGGGTAGAGTGGAGGGTGCAGAAAATACATTGCGCTGCTTTCCTTATCTCCTCACTGGCGGTCTCATATTTATTGGTATTTATTTTTAGAAAGACGAACTTATTGCCGTGATTCGTGAGCATCACTGTGTGCTGCCGGAATCTCTTCGTCAGACGCTGGATGTGGATATGTCCAGCACACAGCAGTATGCACCTCGTGGTGCGCCAACTTCGGTGTCCGTCCCCACTACTGAAATCGGTCCGTATCCACAGCCACCGTTACCATCACCGCAAGCAATGGTTCGCCGAAAACGACCGGCCAGTGAGATGATACCCGAGTTAAGGCATCCGCCGCAGTCCTGTGCGCCCCCGGCGACACTGAGCACTGGTTGCCAAGCAAATATCATTACTTTAGCAAAAGTAAGTTGCTTCTATGACTTCAGCAAATTTCATTTCTACCATTTCAAACAAAACTGGACGGTACCATACATCACTGAGAGCTTGAACCATTTCCGAGAAGCGAGTGCGCGTAGCTCCGGAAGTGACAGAAGCACGCAGTTTAGAACGGAAGAGATTCACACAACAGCGCTTGACGTGTAGCTGCATCTCGATAATAGCGTTCGGTCCACGTTGGCAGCATCTGTTTTGATGATTTATTCTCGATACTACTAATGTTGCAGCAACGATAGGAGAACAAGATGGTCACATGTAGCAGTAATAAAGCTTCTCCCACAGTGCGCGTTGATTTCCTTTGGAATTAATACAATTCCACTGACTTTTGTTCCGGGCGAAGTGTTTTTTTTTTCTGTTGTGATCGCATCATGTGAATCCCCGGCCCGTTTAACGAGACGCAGGCTGAGTTCGGAGATACTTCTAGCAGTTCACAAGCTACTTCCTCGCGGTGGATTAAGCTTATCCAGTTGTCTAACGACGTTTTTTTTTTTTTTTCAAAATAAGCTTATGAGCTATCAA